CCGCCACCAAGTTCGTAGAGAACGAGGGGAGGTAGAGGCCCGACAGCGTGCCAGACGGGACAGCAGGACAAGGGAGGGCAGTGGTGGAGGTCGCAAGGACCGGACCCCCTGAGGGGTCGGCCAGGGAGACAGCAACCGGTCTAGGGAGCTGCTCCAGGGCAGTGCGGTCGCGGAAGAAACAGCGGGAAGCACCTGAGTCCAGTGTGAAGGTGTGCAGTGCCTTAGTAGGTGCGGTACCAGCAGACGTAGACGCACTAGCACCTAGGGCAGCAGCCTCACCAGGACCTAGAGCAGCAGACGCGCTAGTACCTAGAGCTGCAGCCTCACTGGTCCCAATACCCGGGTCGGGCGGTACACTCAGGTAACAGTCACCCTCAGCACTAATAGTCAATGCATACATAGCAGCAAGGATAGCATCATAATCAAGAGCAAAGATATCAATCCCCTTCCTAAGCAGATCAGCCCAGCGGGGCAGCTCAGAGGCGTCAGGGAACTGCTCGCGCCAGGCGTCGTCGAGGCGAAAGAAACAGCGCTGCGCCGTGTGAAAATTCCCACAAGTCTGGCCAGTGCGGTCACCTGTGCGGATGACGTACGGGCAGGTACCTCCACCCCCAGACCCCCCACGCTGAGAGTACCACTCACGGAGCTGCTGGGGCGAGGGAGTCTCGCCGGGACGCTGCTGCTGCGGCCTCTGGCCACCGCCGAACCCCCCACGCTGTACCGCTCCACCGCGCCCGCCACCCGCTCCACCGCCGCCACCACTGCCACCACCGCCCCCACCACCCCCACCACCGCCGCCGCCGCCGCCGCCACCACCCCCTGTGCCGCCACTGACCCCCCCACCACCCGCGCCACTCCCACTACCGCCACCACCCCCGCCCCCCCCACCCCCTCCACCGCCGCCGCCCCCGCCTCCACCTCCACCACCCCTGCCCCCCTTGCCCCTGCCGCCCTTGCGCCTCCCACTAGGAGCAGACGCGGCCCCGACCCCCTCAGCTCCGAGGTAGTCGACAGCAGCAGCAGATGCAATGGAGGGGAGGAGGGGGGAGGGGGAGCACCCCTCAAAGAAGGGGGTGCGGGGGTCACCACGAGAGGCACCTACAGCTACAATGCTCTTCTCAGCTGCTAGGAGTTCCTTCTCGAGGAGGTCGACAGTGAGGTCAGTGGGGGAGAGGGCGAGAAACTGGTCCCTGACAGTGCGAAGGGAGTCAGGGAGGCGGGTGACAAGGTGGTACAGTGTGAGGTACATCGGGGGGGGGTTCTTGGCGAGGAAATCGGGGGGGAGTGCGGCACGGTAGCGGAGATCACTAGTACGAAGGTGAGTGATGAGGTCAGCTACAGTGGCAAAGGCAGACAGATCGGGGAAGAGGTAGGGTAGTGAGAGACGGCTAGGCGAGCATGGGCGTCACGAGTCTGCCACTGTGAGCGAGTAGTATTGTCAGCAGTAGCAGCAGGTGCGGGAGCAGCGCCGGACGTGTGGTCATAGAGGGAAACATCGTCCTTGGCAGTGATCTAGAGGTACAGGTGAAGGTCATCAAGCCAGACATCGAACTTAATCGGGCGGCCCTCGGCGTTAAAGGTGAGAACAGTGGGACTGGCCATAGTGGCAGTAGCAGGAGTAGCAGTAGCAGTAGTAGCAGTAGCAGCAGTAGCAGTAGCAACAGTAGTAGCAGTAGGAGCAGGAAGAGCAGTTGCAGCAGGTAGGGCGGCGCGGCTCGGTCAGGGCGGCGCGGCTCGGTCAGGGCGGTGCGACTCGAGCGGCGCGACTCGGGCGGCGCGACTCGGGCGACGCGGCTCGGGCAGGTAAGGCGGCGCGACGGCGGGCCTAGGCTCGGTGCGCGGCGGCGCCTAGGGTGCAGCTGCGCGCGGGCCGCGGCTGCGTTCTAGTGGCAGCTAAGCGCGAGCTGCAGCAACCGACGCGTGATCGCCGCAGCGCGCTGGCTGCGACCTGCGGGCAGGCGGCTGTGGGTCGCGCGTCGGCCTAGGGGCGAGCGGGGCCTACGGGCGACGGCCTGCTGGGGCTCGCGAGAAAAGATCGGGCCGCCCTAGGCGGCGGTTTTCCTACGCGGGCTAAAACGGCGGGGCCGCGCTCGGGCTGCTAGCGGGCTGCACACGGGCAGCGTGAGAGGAGAGCGCACGAGGGCGCACTAAGGGAGAGGCGCACGAGGGCGCTAAAAAAAAGGGGGGGGCGCACGAGGGCACCTCTAGCGGAACGGTGGGCCCTTAGGTCTAGAACCTAAGCTCTTAATACCATGTCAGAAACAAGAAGTGATTGAACTATGAAACATTGGAGTACAAGTATGAAACCCTAGAGTTGTGTACCCCCTAAAGGCTAACCCACTATAGCCTACACAGCAATAACACATATATAATGTTTGACAGTCAGCTCCAGCAGCGACAGCCCGTTTCATTGTAACGGCGTTGACGTGTACCATTGAAGTCTTGGGCGACTGCCAGCGAGGTAGCTCGACCCAGTGACCACTACTTCGCACGGTGCAGCTACCCGTCGTCCAGTCAATTCGCGGGTTAAACCGTCGCAGCCAATCACGTCCCAGTAAAATATCGTGCCCATCCAGTGTCGTTGCGAGCATTTCCTGTGTAAACCCGAAATTCCCCCCGCAGCGGACTTTTACTCTCTCTACCTTTTCCCGTATGGCCAGTGGCGTGCCGTCGACTAAGCGTGCGTCTATCTCCGGTAAGCAACGGCTAAGTGTCAGTTGCAGTTTTCGTGCGGTTGCGGTATTAACTAAACCGTGGCTTGCTCCTCCGTCAATAAAAATCTTCACTGCTGCACCCTCTATTTTCCCGTGGATCACTACTGGGCAATCCGTCGCTGTACCCTCCTTATTCGTCCGAGTCCGATCGATAGCATGAATCGGTACTGTGACTCGGTGAGGGTCGGTGGGGTTGGGCGAGCAGGCAGTCTCGTCAGTAGTTGGCCCGATTCCTACTGACTGCTGGCGTTTCCCTGCCTTGGAGACTCCCTCCCCTGCTCTGCTCCGCGGCGCCTTAGCTCCTCTGGGCATTCGCTCTTGCGATGGCCCGGCCTATTGCAAGCAAAGCAGCGCCCCTTAAACGGTGCGGCAGCTGCATTCGTCGCAACAGCGTGTACATTGGCGTGCTCTATCGGTCCCCGAGGACGATGTCCATAGTAGGACCCCGATCTCGGACGGCGTAAAATGTCGATTTTCTCGGCGAGCGCGAGAATCTCGTTGAAGTTCGAGAGCCCGCGTAGCATCATTTCGTGCGAGATGTCCGAATTCAGCCCTCCGACGTAACGGTCCACCCGCTCCGCTTCGTGCATGTAGCCGACTTGCTCGCATAATGCGAGAAAACCACTCGTATAGTCTTGAACCGATCCGAGCTGCCGCCAAGTGCGCAATCTCTGACGCGCCGAAATAGAAGCCGCGATCGGCTCGAAGCGCGCCCGAAGCCCTGCGCACCACGCATCCCACGTGCTGTATTGGGCGGTCTCGCAGAATGAACTCCAGGTGACAGCTGGACCCGTGGGCCCTTCCTCTTGCGACGGTGGCTCGTAGGCGCGTGGCGACGTCACGATGACTCGCCACCAGTCCATGGCGGGGCCCCTTAGCAGCGAAACGGCATACCGAATCTTTGCTGCGTCCGACTCGACGTAATTCGCGTCGAAGAAGACGTTCATCGTGAAGACCCACGATTGAACCGTCGGACCTCCACGCTGGCTCGGGTCGAAGCAGGGCGGGCGTTGCGGCTTGGGTGGCATTGGTGCCATAATGGCCTGTTCGCCACTTGTCGCCGCGAACTCCACGTGCCGACGGGCTTCGCGAGGCTCCCGCGGGCTTGGTGCGACCCTGTTTCCTCCCATGCCAGGCATCGGCTGGGCGGCGCCATCGCTGGCTGCGCCTGAGCGCTGTCCCACGCTATTGTTTTGTGTTGGTGTGCCGGACGAGATGACGATCGGCTCGTCCGATTGTGCAAATGCATTTGTCGGTGCGTGTGGTGGCGCTGGAGTGTTCATCGTTGATTCCTGACGCGCGGAGTCACATTCCGCCGTGAGCGTCGCAATTTCAAGCACCGAATCTTGAAGTTGGCGCACCAGACGGTCGAGCTGCTCCTGCGTGAATGTGGCGAGCGTGAATTCGGCCATGGCGGGGGTGTCGGGCGAGCTCAGCGAGAGCCTCGGTCGTGGCCGTGCGTGCTTACGAGAGAGCACTACGAGCGGCGGTGCTGTGTCGCTGAGAGACGTCTACCCCCCCCCAAAAATTGAGATAGTGGGGAAGCGAAGGTGTGGGTGCGGTCCGAGAAGAGATCGTAGGCTCTGAATACCAAGTGTTACGAGTGCAATTGAGTGAACGAACGAGAATTGCACTATCGAAGTAAGAGTACAATGAGCGAAGGCATGAGCGAAGGCTATATGGCGAAACTACAATGGTAACGGTAATGGACTGTGGTTGTCGCGTGACGGGCCTGGGACTGAGGTTGGGAAAAGTGTCGAAGCGGAGGCCCGGAGCGCGGGTTACCCGCCGAGCCGTGAGGTCGGGGTGCGACGTGCGAAGGTGGCGGGAGGATTGTCGATGTGAGGGTTGCGAGTGGTAACGGTGCTGACTGTGGTGCTACAGTGGTGTACGCGCTGAGCAGGGACGCGAAGCAAGGAAAAGGAATTTTCCTTACACATATGCACATGTGTGTACACCATATAAAGTGAAAATCGAGGAAATAAAAAGCAAACGCTAAACGTGAAACCATAGCCCACCTTTACAAGGTGTTCCGAATCCTCGCCACGACGATGCCATAGTTTCCACAGCGTTTAAGATCCACAAGAAAATGAAGGGGGCTTTTACTTTAATATATAAAATTAGCATGATTCAGACCTCGTTAAAAAACGCGAAAAGGGACAACAGTTAGCCATGTGCTAACTAGTTATCTTCCCTACAATCTACAATGATTTACAAAACATTAAACAGCTCTCAAGAAGAGAGCCATTGCTCCATGACATTCCCCAATAACTTCTTAGTACCATATCACCGGATCCACGACGGTTGCACAGCTATGGGGATCCTAACCGAATGCCCTTTACCATCCAGCCACCACAGGCTCCCAAACCGAAACAGCTTCCACGGCAGCTGCAACGTAAGCGTCACTTTAAACACCTGCGTGGCGCCAGGCGCAATCGTGAACTTCCTCGGCTTCACCTTCACCATCACCCCAAACGGCTGCTTCACTTTAGCCCGGTAAGTCGACGTGCTCGTCGCAACATTGGTCACCCGCCGCACAATCACCACTGTATTCTGCAGCCCTTGCACGGATATACACGGCCGGTTCAACTGGTACGCCCGCAGAGGAGCCAGGGAGTCCGACGGGAACATGGCCTTAGCCCACCGCATCTTCCTCCCTGCGAGAAAGTTCTTATAATCCGCCTCCACTGCGTTGTACGTCAACCCCGGGTCCAGCACCTTCTGCGGGTTGATGTGCCCCGACCCGAGGTGCCACGGCGACGCTCTCGTCGCCGACGCGTGGAAAATCGGCGTACCCGCGCTGTTGTGAATCCTGGCTGTAGTCATAATCGTCGACATGACCTGCGCGGGCGTCCAGTGTGAATGCGCCTGGATGATCAGCGCGGCAAACCCGGCTACGTGCGGTGTGGCCATGGAGGTGCCGGAGAGCATCTGCGCGTTGTTGGGGCTCGTGCCGGGGGCAGCGGAGTAGAGGTTGACGCCCGGGGCGATGACGTCTGGCTTGAGGATGTGGTTGGTGGGGTACGGCCCGCGGTTGCGCGCCGTCATGGGCGTGAGCGGACCGGTGGAGGAGAAGGTGGCCACGATGGGGCCCTTCATGTAGTTGAATATGTCCAGGATGGATAGGGTTGTTGCTCTGGTGGGTGGGTGGGATGAGGGGGGTGGATGGGCAGGGGAAAGGGAGCGGGAGTGTGAGAAAAATGGAACAGGGAAAGAGGTGGGCGAGAATGTAGCGACTGTGGGTCCCTTCATGTAGTTGAATTTTGTTTAGGATGGACAGGGTTGTTGCTCTGGTGGGTGGTGGGGTGAGGGGGGAAAGGGCAAAGGAGAGAAGAGGAGGAGAAGGTGAGGCGCGGGAGTTGGAGTGCATGGGGAGTGGGAGTGTGAAGGACTGCGAGGAAAGGGGAGTGAAGGAGAGATGAGGGTGCAGCACAATCTACCCATGCCTCACATGCGAACCATGCCTCACATGCGAACCATGCCTCACATGCGAACCATGCCTCACATGCGAACCATGCCTCACATGCGAACCATGCCTCACATGCGAACCATGCCTCACATGCGAACCATGCCTCACATGCGAACCATGCCTCACATGCGAACCATGCCTCACATGCGAACCATGCCTCACATGCGAACCATGCCTCACATGCGAACCATGCCTCACATGCGAACCATGCCTCACATGCGAACCATGCCTCACATGCGAACCATGCCTCACATGCGAACCATGCCTCACATGCGAACCATGCCTCACATGCGAACCATGCCTCACATGCGAACCATGCCTCACATGCGAACCATGCCTCACATGCGAACCATGCCTCACATGCGAACCATGCCTCACATGCGAACCATGCCTCACATGCGAACCATGCCTCACATGCGAACCATGCCTCACATGCGAACCATGCCTCACATGCGAACCATGCCTCACATGCGAACCATGCCTCACATGCGAACCATGCCTCACATGCGAACCATGCCTCACATGCGAACCATGCCTCACATGCGAACCATGCCTCACATGCGAACCATGCCTCACATGCGAACCATGCCTCACATGCGAACCATGCCTCACATGCGAACCATGCCTCACATGCGAACCATGCCTCACATGCGAACCATGCCTCACATGCGAACCATGCCTCACATGCGAACCATGCCTCACATGCGAACCATGCCTCACATGCGAACCATGCCTCACATGCGAACCATTCCTCACATGCGAACCATGCCTCACATGCGAACCATGCCTCACATGCGAACCATGCCAACTCACCTCCGTCCGCCCTTCTTGCCAGTCCTCTTGGCAGTGAGTGCGTTGATGAGAGCAAACATGGCCGCTGAGTCATCATGGTCCACCAGCATCACTGGCACCGTCCATGCCTCGCTTCCACTTAACATGCTCTCCATACTGCTGCTGCCACCACCACTGCTGCCGCTGCTGCTGCTGCTGCTGCTGCTTAGGCTGCTTATACTGCTTAAGCTACCAGTACCACTTCCATTGCTGCTGTCACTGCTGCTGTCGCCACTGCTGCTACTACTGCTACTGCTGTTGCTGCTGCCGCCGTCAACAGGGCCGGCTACGGGATAGTCAGAGTCACCAGCAGCAGCGGCAGTTGCAGCAGCAGCAGGGAAGGCAGGGGTGGCTGTGCGAGCTTCTTGCATGGCCACCACAGCGCGCACAGCTGCTGCCTGCTGCTCATCCAGATCGCTGATGCTGCTGCTGCTGCTGCCGCTGCTGGTGGGATCGAGAGCAGAGGCAGTGGCGGTGAGGGCAGTAGAAGTGGTGGAGTGAATGGTGATGGAAGCGGCAGTGGTTCTGGGAGGGGCCTTCTTCCCATACAGTGTTCTCCCCTTGTTTATCGTGCTGCAGGCGAGAGCAGGGGGGGGAAGGTGGGGAGAGTGGGGAGCGGAGGGGAGATGGAAGGGTGGGGGCAGGGGAGCATAAGCGCGAGAGGCATAGAGGGAAGGCAGGAGAGGATGGTGGAGAGAGGAGATTGGAGGGGAGGGAGAGAAGAAGAGACTGCTATTTAGAAGCTAGAGTGATACATTTGAGAAGTGGCGAGAGATGTGGAGTACAGCATTGCATGTGCAGAGTAGGGGGAGCAGCTGTCCTTGCAAGCACATGTGAGTGAGTGATTGCCCATGCAAGGGTAGGCGGTTGGTTGGAGCAGGGCGAGTTGCGGTGGGTACCTGGCGCCGATGGTGAGGTGGAGGGGCGTCAAGTAGCAGAGCGTGGGAGGAGGGTAAAGCTTGGAGGGGGGATGGCATGGCATGGCATGGCATGGGATGGGATGGGATGGGATGGGATGGGATGGGATGAGATGGGATGCGACGGGATGGGTTGGGATGGACACACAGACACAAACATGCGCGGGCACACACAGACACACACAGAGAATCACGAGAGCACACCTTAAGCACCCTCTCACGCTCTCCTTCACTCCCTCCCCTAACTGCACCTGACTGCCGCCCTACTTGCCCTCATGGCACCTAACCTCCCACACCCCGGCCCTGCCTTCCCCTCCCTCCGCCACGGCCTTCACACGCCCCCTCGCGCACCACATTGCCGTGCATGTAGGAAACATCATCAGGGTACGTCACAGAGTGTCCAGCACGCCGAGCGAGCGACAGGCTGAGGACCCCATTCCTCCTCTCATTCCCGCTCCCATTTCCCCCCTCCCCTTCTTCCTTTCCCTCCCCCGCACGCCACCCCACGCACCACATTAGCCTGCATGTACGAGACATCATCAAAGTATGTCGCAGAAGGCCTTTTCACGCCCCTCATGCCCCGCACCGCAAGCCCCTCACCCACGCGCCACCCCGCTTACCAAGTTAGCCTGCATGTACGAAACGTCATCAAAGTACGTTGCAGAGGGGTCCAGCGCGCCGAGCGACAGGCTGAGCACATCAGCGCCGTCAGCCATGGCCTGATCCAGCGCCGCCTCGATGTCCGCGAAACTGGCGGAGGAGCTGCCCTGTGTCTTCCAAAAGACCTTGTACACGGCTAGGTTGGCGCGCGGGGCCACCCCGCTGTACGCGCCCAGGTTGGTGCCGAAGGGCGTGATGAGGGTCACGCCGCTGTTGCCCACTGCTGCGCTGTTGGTGGTGCGGTGGGGTTGGGTGGGGAGGGGTGGGGTTGGAAAGTGGGGAAAGAGGTTGATGCGGCGGGGAGGGCACTGATTAGTGTACCTACTTGGGTTAACGTATTTGTTTTAAGCATAGTTAAGGAGGATGTGCCTTGGATTGGGAGTGCGATGGATGGAGCCATTCTGAATTTGTACGACACACACACACACACACACACACACACACACACACAGACACACACACACACACACACACACACACACACACACACACACACACACACACACAGACACACAAACACACAGACACACAGACACACACACAGACACACAAACACACAGACACACAGACACACACACGCACGCCCGTGCGCTGTTCACAGACCAAACGGCGTCAAAACTTGGTACTGTTGAAAGTTCCTGTCCAATCGATCCACTTCCCGCCCACCCACCCAGCGTCCGGCCCCTGTTCTTCCGCGATCACCCCACGCACCCTGCGACCTCACACTCACCCCGCACACCACTCACCCCGCACACCACTCACCCCGCACACCACGTGCCGTGGCTGTCCGAGTCGCGCGGCGAGTCGTAGTCGTCAGTGAAGTCGCGCGCGCCGATCTCCGCCTCGAACCCGCTCGAGAACGAGCGCGCGCCCACCAGCTTCCCCGTGCACAGCGCCGCGGGGAAATCCGTCGTCGCGTCGCACGTCCCTGCCCACGTCCCCGGCGCCGAGAACGAGCCCTGCCGTTGGGGGAGGACGCGGCGAGCGGGGTTGGGGAAGCGGGGGGGGGAGGGGAGTGGGGAGGGGAAGAGGAGAGGGAGAGCGGGGAAAGGTGTTGGTTGGGAGGGAAGGTGGGGGGATGACCATTCGGGAGAAGCCTGCCATAGGCTGATAGGGATGATCACTTATTAGAGCTCTCTTCTCAAAACTAGAGCTCTCCATAGCCACCACAACGACCTCGCCCTTCTCTTTCCCGCATGCCCATCCACACAACACACTCACCCCATCTCCTGACACTCCCACCCTCCGCCACTCCCTCTCCGCCCCCGCACCCCAACCCGTCCCCGCTAAGATCTCGTCCCTCCCCCTCCCCGCAACCCCCCATCTCCTCCCCCCCCAACGCACGTCATCGGCGAACGACTTGTGTTCGGGCCAGATGCCCGTGTCGATCACGCCCACCACCACGCCATCGCCCTATAGTCACAACAACGACCACGCGGATTCTTCCCCGCATTCCCAGCCTCCCCCCCTCCGCTCACATCATCTAGGAACATCTTGTGTTCGGGCCAGATGCCCGTGTCGATGACCCCCACCACCACGCCGTCGCCCGCGCTGCCCACGCCGCCGGCCTGCGCCCACGTGGTGCGCTGCAGGTCCAGGAACGACGTCGACGGCATGCCGCCGAACCGCTTCGCCACGCCGCTGCGCCGCACCAGCGCCACGTCCGGGTGCCGCTGCAGCCGCCACACCTGCTTCGGCGTCAGCAGCGCCGCGAACGAGTTGCTCGCGAACTTGAAACTGGCAAAGCGAGGATGGGTAATAGGGGTTTTGGGGAGCGCGTGAGTGGGGGTGTGAGGCAGGACGCTGCGGTCGCCACACCTTCTCCGGGAAAGCGTTGCTCGCGAATTTGAAATAAAAAAGAAGGGGGGGGGGGGGGGGAGGGGAGGGTTTGAAGGGGGGGGGATGGGGAAGGGAAGTGGGTGGTTTGAGAGGGGAGTGGGGAGGGAGCGAGTGGGGATGAAGAGGCAGGCACCTGGCGCCGCCAAGAGCGCATTGCGTGCGAACTTGAACGGCACGCGGGGAGGAGAAGAGATGGCGTGCCATGCCGTGCCACGCCTCACACCTCTTGCCGCTGCCAGCGCGCGCACTCACTTGTAAACGGCTTTCGCCCCGATCTCCGCCGCCAGTCTGTCCTGCTGCGCTTTCAGAAACTTCCCGAACGCGCGCACGTGCGGCAGCCGCGGGTTGATCTTCCACCTCCTCTTCCGCGCGCCCAAGCCCTGCGGCGTGGCGCTGGCGGCAGCGAAGCCAGTGGCGTTCCGCCAAGTGGCGGTCGACGCGGCTGAGTGAGCGGCGCTAGGGGCGGGAGCGGGGGCGGCGGCGGGAGGCTGCGAGTCGGATTCGTTGCCAACAGCGCCGTCATCGGCAGCATCAGGTGCGGGGGGAGCGGTGGCGGGGTAGCTACCAATGCCGCCGCGATAGCCGGTGATGGGGGGAGCGGATCGTAGGCGGACGATTTAGAGCGCCTTCTTGGGGGCAGTGGGCACTGGGGGGAGAAAGGGGGGGAGTGGGGGGAAACGGGGATGGGGGCAAAGCGAAAGTGAGAGTGGTTCAGCGGCGATGCGGGTTGTGGTATGTGGTGAGGAGGACGGTGGGGAGGTGGGGGAAGAAGGGTATGAAGGAGGCACATTGGCGGAGAAGCGCGGATGTGTGAATACTAAGAGGGGTGATGGCGATGGAAGGGGAGGAGACGAGAGGATTTTGGCTGGGCTTGCGGAAAGGCAGAAAGGCGGCGTCATCGAGTGACCAGCTAGACGGTGAGTGCGTGAGTACCGGACCCGGTGTAGTGTTCTCGCGGCTAATTACACGCGACACAATAACGAGGTCAGCGTTAGCGAGGATAGCGAGGTTTGCGCACTGGACGGGGTAGAATTCCAGTCGCCCCTGGGTGCTCAACTTTACTCTCCGTCACTCCCCTTCACTCCCCATCATCTCCCCAATCTTTGCTAATCTTCCTCATTCGTCGTTACGTCGCACGATCATTCAATTCTCCGCAACCGTGACGTTTATCCGTTCTGCTCTTCCTCCCTTCGCCCCCTCCCGTGCTCCATTCAGTCGTACCTTGAACGCACACGGCGCATCGCAGGCTGCAGGCCACCGCTAGTACCAGCCCTAGAAGCACCCGCGCCGCGCGCAAAGCGGCTCGCACCCGAGCCATGCTGCCGGTTCCGCAAGACTACAGGCGCGACGCGACCGTGGGTCGGGAAACGGAAACCCGGCGACGAGAACGAGGCCTTGTATCGGGGCTGTTTCTGTAGTGCCAGATGAACTCTCACCGCCTAAGCGGCTCGTCGTAGGCTGCGTGTCTCCGACGAGCTCGCCGTCGCTCTAGCCGTCGCTCTCGCCAGCAGCAGATCTCCGCTGCTGCTGCTGCTGCTGCTGCCGGAAACAAATGATTGTCTCGCTCTTTCTACTCGTGGCGCCTCAAGGTCTGACCACTGCTGTAATCGCCTCGCGCGCGGTCGCGTCAACAGGACGACGGAGAGGCGTGGCGAGACTCGCGCCGTCGCGCTCGTATGTGGTTGAACCCCGAGTATGCGCGCCTGTCTCAGACGGTACTGCTTTCTCCTTCTATCCCCGCGAAACCACAGCAGCCGGTGGTCTCCTCGCTCAAAAGCGTCGTTCTATGTCGCCGACAATGGTCCATCAAGATCGTGCCTGATAGCAGTTGTGCAATGAGCTTCCAGCGAGTGCTTCTGCTTGGGAATCTGGCAAGGCAATGGTTCACTACGAGAATTGCTGCGTGAGCTGTGTGTAATGAAATGAGCTAGAATCTGCCCACACATCACGAATTGACGAGGTGCGTAGTGGTTTCTGCCGTTGTCACCGAACCAGATGCACAGGTGCACCGACCGACATCAGATCAGACATGCCGAAGTCCCAACCAACCCAAGTTGAACGCGAACACCCCAAGGGGCCGCGCAGCCCAACGCAAGGCGCTTTTTCTTCTCATTTCCACGCGGAACACCCTGGGCTCCATCCATGGGGTCCCGGTCAGGCAAGGGCAGCAGGATAGTGGGGCCGGTCAACGACATTCCCGTGCCCATGGCGAACCAACCACCCAACCACGTCCGAACTCCCAAGTTGGGGTAGAAACTGTGTTGATTGCTGTTTTCATTGTGTAAAGAGCAGGAATCGACGGGTCCCTGACTTGCAGGGATATTTACCGCCATGCTTCGGGTGACATCAATCACTCTAATTTGTTTCCGTTCTGATGATTGCTGGGTCCTGCTAGAGGCTTGAGGGTTGTGGTGGCTGAAAATTGGGTGGGAAGAGCCAGGAAGACAATATCGGAAATTCGAAATGAAATGGTGTCGCTGTGGGTACAATCGAGATTACAGAACTACTTTCAACAGCCCGCATTCAACAAAATCTCTCAACGAGCCACCCACCTCCAACCGAGCCGCACATAGGCATCTAACTTCATTACAGCAATAGTATCGACGGCTCTCAGGACAGCATTGCAAGAGCATGGAGACGTGGTGACGTTAGATGGACCGAGTTCACGCTTGTCTCAGTTCGGTGGGATGGTGACATGTCACGAAGCGCACTCATTACAAGAAACACACGACCACGGTTCCATCAACAGTGCCATTGGCGGTGTGGCTGCAAGATGTTCGACCAGGGCTTGGTTCACTTGGGAAGGCCGAAATTATACCCCCTTTTCCAGCTGCTGAAAGCGGCTTCTAGCCCCTTGAAAATAGCATCTTGTAAGGAATTTTCTCGATATTCCGTAGCGCATCCGGCAACATCGCGTACAGCAGCAGCCGTTGTTCGCCCAGTTACAGCTAATGGGGCTTCGCCGACTTCGCGCGCACTGTTTCACCAAACCATGCACCGGTGGCCTGGCCGTGTCGGCCTACGCTTCGGGACTAACCCGAACCTCGATGCCAGCCTAGCACTAGCTAGCTCGCACGCACCGCGTTACCGTTTGCATGTTTCGCGTATAAATGATCGCTCATGCCTTCGCTCACATTTTGGCGAAGGGGGGAATTTACAGAAACTGCTAGCCGACGTACCGGATGGTTTGGCAGCACTCCTGAAGCGGTACAGTGGGATATTTTCAGATGGCCTGCCGACGGGACTGCTGCGGATAATACTATTCAACGGGAGAGCTTGACTAGCGTGGGACACACGGTTAGAGTTATGGCAGTGATTCTCAGGAGTGAACTTAGTTGCCTTGGTAGCAGGGCCCTCGCTAGTCTCTGAACCCCCCTGACTGGTCAGAATTTTTTCACGCCCCTGTCTTTCGCATCAGAAATTCTAACATTACTTGGCTTAAAAATCAGATTTTGTAACCCGTCCCTACTGTAACTACAACAACTACTACAGCTATTCTCTACAGAGAAAACATATCAAGAATAACTATCTAGCTATCTGAGTCAGAGTCAGATGCCTCATTGTCACTCAGTGTAACAGTTGCACGCACATCCACTCCTTCATCCTCACTGTCGCTATCTACTATGTGAGTTTTTGCTTTCTTCCTCTTGGCTTCTCCGTCGTCATTGGACGGCGCCTTCTGAGCTGTCGTGTTAGGTGCTAGATCCTCCCTGTCTCCCTGCCTCCCTGCTGCTTCCGTCTCTGCCTCCCTGCGCTTCGCAGTTGCCACTCCACTGACTTCTTTGGCAGGGCGCCTCTTCTTTGCCCCGCGCTACAGCTTCACCACGTCGTCCCAGTCTGGTTCGTAGTCAAGCAGGGAGATGCACATGAGGTCGGAGAGTCGCGCATTGCAGAGGTTGTTCCTGAGCCACGACTTGATTACGTTTTGGCGACTGAACCCTCGCTCGCACTCCACAGTGCTGAGCGGAAGAACAGCCACTGCCACCCAAAGTCGAACCAGATTGGGGAAAGAAGACTCCCAATCCCCGCTCCTGAGCATGTTCTTAAGTGCCACGTGGAAGGATTGATCCTTGTACTGTGACACCATCACGCGGGTGAAACGTGGAAGCTCCCGCTCGGCCTTCTTCCAGTTGACTCCTGCAAGCACACACAGCACATCTAGTTAGCATCCCACTATGTAGACGGATCGTTACACAAACAAGGGATTAGGGACAACGCGGAATTTGAAAACACGTACCTGGCAGAGCGCACTGCTCGGCGTTGAACATCTTGCGAAGGGAGCTGAACCACTCCGCGCACAGACGGTCGCGCTTGTTCATGCCATCCGGATAGGCGTCTGGCAGAAATAGCTTGGACCCAACGAGGGACTTCAAGCGTCGCATGCGGTACTGTAGCCTGCCGATCACCTCCTTCGCAAACAGGGTGGCGAGGGACACGCAGGACTCGACGTCACCCGAGGGATCCTCTTTCTTCTTCGCATCCAGCTCGTGCAGCTTGAAGGTGTGTTTGACGGCGTTGCCGTCTCCATCCATCCCCTCCACCTGGACCACCCGCTTGGACGGATGGGAGTGCGCTTCGAGGAAGGCAGTGAGGTGCTCGCTGTCCTCCGCGAAGTTCACCCCGTACTCCACATAGCGCGAGTTCAACTTCTCGCAGGTGTTTTGCATCTGCCCCATGACACGGGTGATGTCCACCTGCGACATCACGTACAAACACAATGTTAATCACTGACATTCGGGACTAGAGCGAATTTCAAAATCGGCGACCGTTAATTACACGCTCACCGATCGTCGCTGAAACCGCTTGTTGAGCTCGTTCAATTCCTTCAGGACATCAGCGAGAAAAAAAAATAAAGAAATGAAATTTGAGGCTCGTAACCAGGTGATACGTCGTGCTGTCTTTCTCGTGGAGCAGCACTATGGCAGTCGGCAGAACAGCGACAAGTCTCGAAACAGCATCGCCCCGCGACAGCCAGCGAACATCGAAAATCCCCTGCATCTCCAAGTTCGTGGCGTGAATCACGGTTTGCAGCTCGTGGAACCTCTGGTGGACGACGCAGCTTCCGCCAATGAGGGTCGCGATGGCGCGGATCCCTTGGTCGACGATGTTGAAGGCGGGGATGTTCGTCGCGGCATCCTTGGCTGCGAGAGCCTCTCTGTTAGATGATGGAAAAAATAACCAAGTGAGTAGGGGGAGATGTATCTGACAACGATACTGCGAAATTTGAAGTGCAAAATACCTCACCGGTGAGCAAGGCAATGACACGCGACAAGATGCGGAACTCGCATCTTCAGCTGAACCACCAGCCCATTCTGACTGCCTAGCATGACGTTCGCGCCATCCGTGCTGATGCCGGAGATCTTGTGCATGTCAACCCCGTTGCAGTCCAGATGCGCCAGCAAGACGGCGAGCAGAGATGAAGCGTCGCCCTTCTCCATGGTTAGGTGCCCAAAAAGCTCGGTCACCGCCTTCTCCTCCTTCATGAAGGTTAGGTAGACGATGAGATGCTTGCCCTTCCTCCGATCAGTCGACTCGTCGAGCTGAATCCCGAGGAAGGGCGACTCTTGGATGTATCGCATCTGACGGGCCTTCAGGTGCTGCACCATGGCTTCGGTCATCTCCCGAAACCCATATCTGCCATAATGAAAAGCACGACAATAAGTCAATAATGATGAGTACCTAAACATCACATCACGTTGCATTACTCACTCTGTCTGGTAGGTGCCGATGGCCTTGTCGGGAATGTTGGGGGTCTTCAGAACGTGTAGCAGGTGCACAAGGCCAACAAAGAGCGCAATAGGTGCATCCGACTTGCATATGAAAAGCACCACTAATAGAAGTTGTTTCAAACGCTCAATCTCCCCCACCCCGTCCTCATACTCATCAATCCATCGTTGAGAAACTTTACCTCCTTCGGCTCGGGCTTTACGATCGAGGGCGTCCTGATGCTTGTGACTCAGACCATGCTTGCGCATGGTCTGCTTCTGGATGTCCACGCCACCCTCGCCCGCCTTGCCGTACTGCCAGTGTGGCGGTCCGTATCTGATGCAGACACTGCACTTCATGCACGGGCGACCATCCTTCCTTTGTGATATCAGCAGCCAGGGGAAACGACGTTGCCAGATGTCGCTGCACTTCTTCTTCAGTTCTTCGAGAAGCGCGTCAGGATCCGGAACCAAAATAGACGGCCTGGACGGTCCTGGATCCGAAGGCACCCTGCTCGTGCCAGTCGCTGGAGTCAGCGGAGTAGCAGCAGCTGCGAGAGAGGGCGACCTTCCTTGCGTGAGGCGCACATGAGGTACGCGAGTTCGAGCAAACCGAATAGTCGATTGAGTGAACTTCCCGAACTTCGGGAACCGGGAGACGCCTGCGCTTCGGACAGCACTGACCGTGGGAGTTGCGACGCGCCCGGTCGCTCTAGTGGGCGACTCTTCCACAGGCGGATCGCTCAGCTGTTGCCGCTGATTAAAATCCGGCCAGGGCTCCGTGCTTGCCGTTGGTTCGTTGTTGGTAACTGGGGGCTGCACAGGCGGATCTCTTTCAGGCGTGGCGGTAGGCGGACCGCCTCTCAGAAAGTCGAGACCAGTAAGTGGACGATGCGACCTAGCAGGGTCATCATCGTCCCTACAATCCATGGCTAGAGGGCCCTAGGAGGATGTTGTCAAGACGGTAGAGAGAGCAGGGGAAAGAATTCCCCTGTGCTAGCGAGTGAAAGGAGCGTTGGAGAGGGAGGGGGAGCCAGCCGAGCATTATCAGCTGAACGAGGTGCATGCATGATCTTACAACGCACCGCGGTGCCCCACTCCATCCTTCGTCCAGCGGGACGTTGGGCAACAGTCGGTGCGAGTCGCGCGAGGCTCTGCAATCCACACAACTCATGCGCTGGCGTGAAAGTGGACCAGTAACAGAAAGACTTGCTCCACTTTCGTCTCAATGTGGCCCAAGTTTGCCAGACGTGCGCCAGATTGCCAGCACTTGACTTCTGTCAGTGCGCTCCGTTGCGCTGTCACCGCAATCACGCATACAGGTCTACTGATCGTGCTGTGATTGGCGCAGCTAACCCATATCACGCGTCAATCACGGCAGACTGTATAAAAGTCGGTTTCAGACGGAACTGATACAAGTGCCTGGAAAATCAGAGGAATAGCAACACGCACGTCTTTTTCATCAGACAAAATGGGAATCTCATATCTTATTCATCAGATTTCCCAAACGTTCCATTTCTTAAAAATCAGATTACGTAAAAAAAATCCGTCTTATTCCTCAGAAAAACAGACAAAAATGTCTGATAACGAGGGCCCTGCTTAGTAGAATTCAAGCATAGTTCCACTATCAAAAGTTCATAGAACAAGAATATGATACAAGCAAGGAGAACCAAATAGCAAAGACAATGAACCCCGTAGAAACGTTCCTCAACAAACACTTGAATCTGTCGAGTCAGCAACGTCAGGTGAAACGACAAACAAATGCATATTTCACCTGAGTTGGTAGTTGCTCAGGTTTACTACGTTCATAATTGTGCACGTTATTACTGTTAGTAAAAACGTGTTTCAGTTTAGTTTCCTTACTGAATCGAATTCTCCTGGGGAGTACAATTTCCGAAATTATCTGATAGGTCGAAATTTGCTGTTTCATGATTGGGCTAAATTTGCGTACATTGCAAATTTTGGAGCCAAGTAACTCTGGTCGACCAGAATCGCTCTACTCGACGAAACACTAGTCGAACTAAATTCTGTCGACCAGCAATCCGTCGAAACACCAATTCTGCCAATTCCGTCTATCAGAAAGGCTTGTCTTTGACGCCGTTTTACTCCCGTCGACGAGCTCCTCCTAGACGAGGACTTTGATCGAGTAGAGGAAACACTTCTGCCTCGACCAATGAATCTCGTCGATAAACGACTCGTCGCACACAGATAAAAGTCCCCAAAGTCGCCGATGACCACGAAACGAACACCGTCTTGTTCCGAAATGCATGGTCGACTTCGCCCAAGCGAGGGCCGGGCCTTTTCTCTTCGACACTCCCCTGCCCAGCTCACGCTTGGGCACCCACACACAAGGTCCACCGAGAACCCAGAGGGATAGAATACAAGGAGAAAATTCCTTCTACGTGCAGCGAACACATAGCACGTAGATCACCGCACCAGCCGTGCAGAAAAGGGCACGGCACCTACTGCTGCACCTCGTCATCCCCGTCGCCCACGTCGGCCAGACGCACTTGGCCGATTGCGACGGAGCACCGGTTGAAAGCCGGAAAATGCAGCGCCTTCGTCAGAAAATCTGCCGGCTGCTCGGAGGTCGGAATACACTGCAGAGCAATCTTCCCGCGCTTCACCATCTGCTGCAGCCAGGCGTAGCGTCGCTCCATGTGCTTGAGGTTGCCCTTGAGCCCCAAGCCCTCTACGACAGTGATCGCCGACTGGTTGTCCACGTGCAGAATGGTCGGCTTCTTCGCGTCACGCAGACGGAACTCTACAAGGAGGAAACGCAGACGACGAGCCTCCTTGCCAACTTCGGTAGCCGTGACGTACTCTGATTCAGTCGACGAAAGCGTTGCGCACTTAATGCGCTGGCTCGACCAGGAGACTGCAGCTCCTTGGAAGACGAAAACGTAGCCGCTCGAGCTCGTCCGATTCTGCTTGTCGCCAGCGTCGTCGGCATCTACATAGCCGACCAGACACAGCGACTCTGGTCCGCCGCCGAACTCCAGAGCGGCGTCACGAGTTTCAGCGAGGTAGTGCAGACAGCGGTCGACCTCGCGCCAGTGGTTATCGCTCCGCACTGTCAGGCCGGATCTAAGCTTGCTGCAAGCAAAAGCAATGTCGGGCCTCGTCGCGAACTGCAACGAGCCGACCTTCTGCCGGTACTCTGCTTCCTCGCGCGACTGAAACTCCTCGTCGTCGAACACCAGCTCTGTGTAGGCGTCGACGGAGACCGGCTTCTTCGGCAATCGCCCGGTCTGTTACTCGTCGATGAAACGCCGACGCAGCTTGTCAACGTAGACTTGCTGGTGAAGCCACAGCTTCCTCGCAGGACGGTTGCGCACGATTTCCAGCCCGAGATACTTCTCAACCGGGCTGAATTCGCGCAGCTCGAAGGCTGCCTCCAGCAGCTCCTTCAACTCCTTCAGCATCGCAGTGCTGCTGCTTGCAGCGAGCAAATTGTCGACGTAGACGAACACCCAGCATGCCACTCCGTCGTCGCCGACCTTGAAGTTCTGCGCTTCATCGATCTGGCTTTTCTTCCAATCGGCGCCGATTAGCACAGCGTCGAGCGCCGAGTACCACAGCAGCGGACTCTGCTTCAGCCCATACAAGCTCTTCAAGAGCTTGCAGACGCGACCAGTGCCATCGTTGAACTAGTCGGGCTAGTACATGTAGAGGACGCGATCCAACTTGCTCTGCAGAAAAGCATTTTCATGTCTAGCTGCATCAGATGCAGGTCGAGGACTGCTACGATGCTGAGGAAGATCCGCAAAGTTACGTAGCTCCCCACCGGCGCGTACGACTTGTCGTAGTCTGCACCGTAAACCTGCGTAAAACCTTTCACCACCAGGCGAGCCTTCTCGCGGGCGACCGTGTCGTCGACGTGATACTTTGTCGTAAGCACCCAGCGGTTCTTCATGATGTTGACATCGCGCGGATGCTCGACCAGCTCCCACGTCCCGTTAGAGATGAGA